AAATAAGGAGAAATATACATTTGTGGGTAGCTTGAATAAGGCAACATGATAAACAACTTACAAAATTATCTGGACTTGGAAAATTACAAACATACTCACTGCTCTGTCCCTGTAATTATAATTAATTATGATGTCTTTTTGGAGAATGTAACATCCAAACATCCAAGTATAATAAGCTTTCTGCTATCCAGCATGGTTAGGGAGTGAGATATGCTCATATTCTAATTAAGGTACCATTGCCACAAGTGAACTGCCAACTGTAAAAGAATTAGATAATGGTGATCTATTATCTAAACCAAAGCTATTTGTAAGATAAGTCTTTGATCCAAGAGGCACTTGAGAAATTTATAGTGAACTTCCCATTTCAAGTCAACTGAGGCATGTATTGTGCACCTACTATATGTATAAGTTGAACAGAACTGAGAATTGATGGTAATTTAATCCTTTCTTATAAACAAGTTACCCTGTTGTGTAGATTTTTGGAATGTACGTGGTGTTAGATACAGTTCCAGTTTGTATAAATACCAGCTCAGAAATTAGAAATATGTTTAATTCTTTGTTTTATCAATGTGTGATTATAAATCACCTTACATTCTCCAAAAATGAAGAGTACAATGTAGGAACTGCATTAAAATAAATGCAGTTTTAATAAATATTAATATTTTTAATACATATAATTCCAAAGAACATCAAAAATGTTATATAATATGGCAGCATACAGTTAACTGTTCTACAAATATGACAAGATAGATAAATATATACACACACATATGCATACAAATATACAGCTATTCTTGATATTCAAAGTTAATACCACATACAAACAGCTTATCTATCTGTGTGTAAAACTATGTCAATCTGATCTAATAATTTTTGGAAAAACTTGCCACCCTTTTAAACAGACTAAATAGTCTCAGAATATAGGTTTAAACAAGTAAGACTCAGAGTCACTCCATTTCATTTGGTATATGGTCATCTTTATTTATGTTTATCTGTAACATTTTTAAAGTAACTGATAGGATTATTTCTTTTGAATTATTCTGAAAATTATCCTTTAAAATTTCTCAAAATCCAAAGCCTTCATTTTATGAAAGCTCATATCTTTAGTTCATGCAAGAAAAATGGAACCTGTCTATGTTCTACTAAAACCAGAGGTACATAATTTCCTGGAACCAGAAAAATCAAGTAATCATTACCAAAATAAACTTATATCATCAGTACATTAAAATACTTCAGAAAATAATTTTTAGAAGTGGATACTTGGTGAAAACCACCCAACAATTCTACAGTACCCTCAACTGCCTGCCTGAGATTGCCAAGAGATCCAGTCTAGTTTCCTAGTTCTATTCAACTTGGAAACTACAAAGCCAGCCACACTGACTTTTATCATCTTTTGCTCTTCAACACAGGGCCATGTAGTGATATCTATTGATCTTTTCTGGAGAGTCACTAATGTGAAAACCAGATCAGGTGTTCTAATTTATTAGATATTTTTTAAAAAATCACAGTATTAAGCAGCTCTGACTTTATCTACATAAACAGTTGAATAATTATTCTTCTTCAACTAGGAGATTTAACATGGTTGAGCTAATACACTAGTAACTTCACCAAAAAAATATCCTGTAACTGTTTAAGGTAATATACAGATCTGGCCCCTAGAGGAAGCTCAGAATTTGCAATGCAGTGTAGTTTCTTTGATATAGCTACTCTGTTTCAGTTCCAAAGGCTATAATTCATGACCTACACAGCGGACCTCCCTGTTTTCTCTGTTCGTATCTATCTTATTCCTACCTATTCCTACCTAATGATCTTCGATTCAGTTACGTATTTGAAACTTTGCTCTTTTAGAATCTGATTCTGTATTCAAACCTTTGATACAATAGAATTATTTAAATTTATACCAAATATTGTACTACTAATAAAATAGTTATTTCTAGAGAATTCCTCATTCTTCAACAATGAAAATTAAGCACTTCTGTTGCTTAACAGTAATTTTCAATAACGGCACATTCACTATGTAAAATGGTCCTTTGTGACATGGGTTAGCTACAAAGAAGTTCCCTATATGTATGGATAGGACTCTGGCTCTAACACGGCTGAGTAGATTATAGACCATGATGAGAAGTCCTTACTTGCCTTTAATTTCTTCAATTTTGTTTTTCCTGCTGGTCTGTTTTATATGTTCACAATCCTTATTAAGAAAAATCAAGCTTATAGCTAGAAAAATGATAAAACTGGTTGTCTCATAGCTAAAGCTAGTTGCCAATTTTTAAATGTCTCTCCAATTGGATATTTTGGACTCAAAGCTGATTACTTCAGCTTCTACCTTCTCTTTCCTTAAAGTTAGGAGGGTACCTTTGGTTGTTTACACTCTGTGGCTACTCCCCTTCTACCTACCTATTTTGGTCTAGTAATGGTCTCTGTATGACTCAATGGTGGCTGTGTAATGTGTATAAAAGAGAAAAAAATTGGTCAACTCTCTTTTCCTAAACCTCATTTTGGTTCCCCCTTTCCTCTATCAATACTGTATTATTTTAGTACTAGACAAGGTTACTGAAGAATAAAATGTTAAAAATATAGTTCACTTTTTATTCTCTTGACTATGTACAATTAATTTTCAGACTGACAAAGTTTAGGAAAATAGTAAGTCAGAAAGAATAAATTTTTCTCTCTGGGGAAAAGGACACTTTATCAAATCACACTATACATATCCATATAAGGCTAGCCCTATTCTGACATAAAGTAAAAAGATTTGGGGTGATCTGTGCCTTTCCAACTTTAAACAGATTTTACTATTGTAAGTAGCAATCACGTTTATATGTTATCACTTGCATTCTCGTCTGAATCAAGAATTCTAGCCCCCCCACCATCTCCATCAGTTTGAATTGTTTCTGTTTGATGTTTTTTGTTTTTCTTTCTCTTCTTTGAAAATAATCATCTTATTTTTGAAGTTGTTTTAAATTAGGGTCAATAATGATTAATCACTTCAGTGCCAATCTGTGGTTATCAATATACCAAGCACTGGATTTTAAATTTCTGACTCAATTCTTACAACTTGGCAAGATGGGCATATTATTCTCCCTCTAGAGATGATGAAGTTGAGGCTCAAGGATATTAAGTAACTTGATCCAGCACACAACTAGGAAAAGCCTCCAGTAGGAAATGTCAGAACCAAGAATTCAACCTCTTGTTGTCCAACTCCAAAGCCCACACTCTTTGTACTCCACCATCCCTCCACAAAAATTTTGCTAATCTGTCTTAGCTACAATTTAGTGTCCTAGACTTGATAACTTTTTTAAAAGGCGCTAAGGCCAAACTTCACCTTAGCTGGTTTGTTATAATATACTCTTTCCACTGTTTTTTATGCCTTATTTATCAATTTTCAAGAAGCTACAGTGTTCTTTGGGAAATGAGAAATTTCACAAAGTGACAAGTAACACCTGAATTAGCTACTCATTTCTGATACAAGATAAAAGTCTTTCACACAGAAATCTTGACTGACAAAATTAGCTTTTCTCCTAAACAACCACTCTAGCAATCAAAATAAAAATAATGATACAACATCATCTCTATCACTCATGGAACACTTAATGGGTCTAACATTTTCAACTAAACTATTTATTGAACAATCCTAAATGATATTGGGGATTACTAATATACAAAACTGTCTGGCTGTGTGTGGGGAGTGTCTGCCTAAGGAGGAGTGTTAATTTATTTAACAGATGGATTTAATAACACTTTTTCTGGTAATAATCAAACTAGTCTACAAAGGGGCTGATTAAATCATTACAAAGTCTCCTAGTGAAGGGGACAAAGGCAAAGTCAACATAATGAGAAAATAAGAATTGTAATCTCCTGTTTCTGTAAACTGAGAAAATGTGAAGTAAGGTGTCAAGTATGCCAGGTGGGTCTACATCCAGCTCCTCACCTTCTTTTCCAGCTCAATTTGAACAGTCAAGCATCCTTACTCACTTTTATCTTGCCTCCACCCTACAAATCCACATCCCCAAGACATGCCTTATACAATGCGCTTTTTTGGGGGGAAGAGCGGGGAGGAGTGGTTTGAATAAGAATTACAATCTGTAGATACTTCTATAAACTAAGCATCCTCGCCTTGCCATGACTGAGCAAAAGTTAAACTGAAAAGTACTATTTGGCTGATGACACTAACAGGGTAAGAAAATAATATAGGGACTCATGTGTGCCCTCACTGCTATACCAAACATCCTGACCCTTTTTTGTTTCCTCCTTCCCCTGGACACAGTTCAAGCCTGTGGGTACTCCGTGTTTGCCAACCCTAAGAGGAGTCTTAGGCTAGACCTTCTCCCCTAGAAGTCATGTGTCAAGAGCATAGTAATCTGTTCTTAGGATAGAGATTTCATCTTTCAATCACTTGCAATCTTATCACATTTATCTGACTTAAGTTTTTAAAAATATTACCACCTCGGGTATGTTGCTTAAAAATGTTTCCTCTCATTAAACACTAGGGAATTTTGGAGAAAAAAAATGGGCATTCAGATTATCAAGAATTTAGATTTCCAATGACTGCTTTCTGAACTCTGAGATTTAAAACATCAGTAGGAGATTCAAGCTTTATAGCCAGTGAGTTAACCAAAAACAAAATAAAACAAAAAAACGCTACTGATGTATTCTCCCACTCTTTCCAATTATAAAAGATCATCAGTTTTATTCCCTTGCTTTTGTTGGATAAAGAAGTCACAAAAGCATTCTCCAAAAACATGTTTTAAAATGGTAAAACAAGTATTCTACAAAAAAATAAGTTAACCATGTCAGTGAACAACTATCAGACAACTCTTTACAGTACAATAGTAAAGTCATGAATGTCAGGGATCTTTCTAAAACATAAGAAAAAAGTTTTAACCCTGCATTTTCAGAATTACAATATTTGGCAAATTCAAACACAAAAACAAACAAGACTAAAAAAACAAAACAAAACAAAAAAAGACTTTTTGATAGACTCTTAAATACATACTACTTACATGACACCTTGTAGAACTTTCTGGGGATCAGGGTCAAATAGCCTGTCAACATAGTGGCGACTGCTAGCTGTTACTTCCTAGAAAGTGGGGGGAAAAATTATGACATCTGAAGCCATGCAAATCACAAATTCACAGCATCACCCACAACATCAAATAGCTATTTCATCTAATTTAAGGCAGATGCATTAGAATGTCTATAAAATACTTAATATATTAAATCCTTCTGAGAAAAGTATGTGACAAGATGGGGAAGAAAGAAAACACCTTGTTCTCCCTAAAACCATAACTATATAGTGGGATCTTTGTGGTGAGCCCTGCAAGCTTTGCCAACAGAAGAACTGGGCATAAGTGTTAAGAAGCAAGGTAAGTTTCTTAATCAACTGTTGGATGTCACCTTCATATGAACAACAGATAGGAATGTTGCTTCTGTTTAGTACCCACTAAAGGGAGAGAAAATCTGGCTCTCAGCAAGGAAAAAAGGGGAAGCACTTCATAAAAAGTCCAAGAGGGGTAGTCCATATGCAAGAGGAAGACTTTCAGACTGACACAGAGAAGCTACACTGACAGAAAGCAGACATGTGTAAACATAAAAACTAAAGTAAATGAGTTGTCATGCTTTCGGTGAGGGAAAAGCAATTAAGAATTAGAGAGATTTAGGGGTGCCTGGGTTAGTTAAGCATCCGACTCTTGATTTCAGCTCAGGTCATGATCTTAGGGTCCTGGGATAGAGTGAGCTACGCTCTGTGCTCAGTGGGGAGTCTGCTTGAGACTCCTCCTTTCCCCCTCCTTCTGCCTCTCCCCCACCAAATAAATACATCTTTTTAAAAAAGACATTTATCAAGTCCAACAGAGTGGTCTAGTCTGAAGTGGCTGAGGCTACATAGAAGGGGAGCGTTAGAACATAAAGAACACAGGGAGACACCTCCTTTTATTTGTATTGTGGAGTTTCCTCTATTATGTTATTTCTTGTAATACTTATTTGGAGGGGTAATATTTTTTATATTTAATTTTCATTACTTTTTTTTTTTTTTTTAAGATTTTCTTTTAGTAAGTAATCTCTACACCCAAGGTGGGGCTCAAACTCACAACCCTGAAGTCAAGTTGCATGCTCTACCAACTGAATCAGCCAGGTGCCCCATTTTTTAAAACAAAGAACATATGTTTAAGAACCGGAGAAGAAAAAAATTAAAAAAAAAAAAAAAAGAACCGGAGAAGAATTTTCATCCCTTCTGTTTCTTTCTGATGCCTGCTGAAATATGCTCATGTACTGCCATCCATTCGTAATGAATTAGCATCGAGAGGAAGAAATACTGTTCCAGTTTACCCAGAACCCCTGATCAGAAACAGTTAACTGACAAGACACAGTGCCAGCTTAAACTCCTGAGTCACCAAAAGTATCTCTGGAGAAAAAGTGCATAAACTCTAATTTTCTGATAATAGAATTAATTCAAAATCAAAATATTTTTTTCTATTATGAGCTTACTACCAAAATATCCTCATAGGCAACCCAAATATCTACTTTTAGTATGCACTCCATTTATAAAGAACAAACAGGGGCAGCAAACAAGCAAAACTGATAGAAACACTTGAGCCCACCAGGATTCCATTAAAGTACCTGATAACAGGATTTGGTTTACTCAAAATAACAGAACTACAGAGTTAGAAGGATTCTTAATAAGTATTTGTCCCAATCCCTAGGGCACCTGGGTGGCTCAGCCCGTTGAGCATCTGCCTTCGACTCAGGTCATGATCCCAGGATCCTGGGATCAAGGCCAGTGTTGGGCTCCCTGCTCAGCAGGGAGTCTGCTTCTCCCTCTCCCTCTGCCCCTCCACCTGCTTGTATGTGCTCTCTCTCTCTCTCTCTCAAATAAAATCTTAAAAAAAAAAAAAAAGAAGTTTCATAATTTAAAAAAGTATTTATCCCAGGGGCGCCTGGGTGGCTCAGTTGGTTAAGCGACTGCCTTCGGCTCAGGTCATGATCCTGGAGTCCCTGGATCGAGTCCCGCATCGGGCTCCCTGCTCAGCGAGGAGCCTGCTTCTCCTTCTAACCCTCCCCACTCTCATGTACTCTTTCTCTCTCTCTCTCATTCTCGCTCTCTCAAATAAATAAATAAATCTTAAAAAAAAAAGTATTTATCCCAATCTCTTAGTTAACAAATGAGGGATGGATCTTTACCCTGATGCCAGATTGTCAAAGTTTAAGTAGGGATGCAAACAACTCTACAAATACATCAAGAAATAATATATCAAGAGCAAAATCCAGAGTAAAACTGAAAACAGTATTCCTGTAATACAAACAGATGAATTTCATCACTCCATTTGAATACATGTGCTTCCCTGGCTTTCCAACATAGTAAATTCTTCTGAGTACCTCAGACCCTTAGCCTCCCTTCTATCTAGGGATTGATCTTGGATTTTACTGTTCCTCTTCACATACTCTCTCACAGCTCTGTATCTCTTGCCTCTCAATGTGGTTTAGAAAAAGACACTTGGGTTTAAGACCTGTATCTTAAACAACATAAGTTTTGCCCATTAACAGCAACTCTCTTTACTGCTCTGTACCTGGTTCATTCAATTTTACAAGCACTGAGAACCTACTATATGCAAGGCACTGAGGAAAGCATTAAAGATTTTTAAATGAATAAGGCATGGTCCCTGTCCTCAAGAATTCATTTTCTATTGTAATTATGTTTACATGTTTATGTTCCCTACTAGAATACAAAACAGAAGTATACATACATATAGGCAGCACTGAAGAGGGAGTTAATAAACTAGGAGAATCAGTGATGAAGACTCCTTAGAGGAGTTAGTTTTGGAAAACAAGTAAGAGTGCAAGAGACTGGACAAGGAAGAATCAGTGTCCCAATCACAGCCATAGCACATGTGAAGCCAACACACATATACCATCAGCAAGTATATACCAGTTGCTAGCACTGAGAAAGAAGGGAGGGTAGATGCCACCAAGAATATAAAACACAAAAGGCTAATCAATAGGCGGCCCATAATTGGAATACAGATTGTCTTTTGGTCAAAGTTCTATGCTAGGTGCCAAAGAAGATCCAAAAGGATATTATGGCAGAACTTTGCATTTAAGGAGCTTACAATCTCTAAGGGGGTCAAGTCATGTATACACACATACAAAAAAACCAATCCTCTGAGCTGCCTAGGTAGCAGCGAGCTGAGGTGATATAGTCACTTATTCAATTTTACTCTATGCTTCTTCCTAACATATTCATTGATTTGTCTGTATGGAACAATTCTTATATTTCACTGCTTCCTTTGTAGATCAGGTCACCTCTCCCCTCTCAGCCCTCGTCTCCCTTCTTTCAAAAGGCAACCTGGAAATGTAAGAATTTGAGACAGAAGGCAAATGGTATAGCTATTAAACAAACTGGTCAGGAAAAGCTTCTCTAAGAAGGTGACATTTGAGCAAAGACCTGAAGAAGATGAAGGATGAAGTCATGTAGCCACCTGGAGGCAAAGCTTTTTGGGCAAAGAGAACACCAAATGCAAAGGCTCTGAAATGGGAAGTGTCTGCTGTGATCAAAGAACAGGGGGCCATTATTATAGTTGGTACAGAATGAGTGAAGGAAAAAGCCACAGAAGATAAGGTCAGAGAAGAGGGGCCAGATGGTAAAGAGCTACATTGTCTAATATGATAGCCACTGCCTCATGTGGCTATTGAGCATTTGAAATGTGGCTAAAAACTGAATTTTAAATTTTTTTTAACTTTAATTAATATTTTAAATTTAAAAGCCAATACTGGATTCAGTTATTAGAAAACCTTGAAGAATGTTTAGAATTACTTGGATATGTAAATCTACTTGTTCAACTGTAAATTTTATGAAACCTAAATGCCAATCAAGTATTTCCAATCAAAATTTGGCATCCAAATTGTATAAAATACACACCAGATTTTGAAGACTTACTATAAAAAAGTAAAATAATTCAATTAATAATTCCTTATATTGATTACTATTGGTTTAAGCTAGATGTATTACGATTAATCTTATGTTTTCTTTTTACGTTTACAGCATGGCTGCTAGAAAATTTAAAATTACATGATAGCTTGCATTATTTTTCCCCTGGACAGGGCTGGTATAGAGCCCTGTTGCTCATTGTAAGGATTTTGCTTTTTATAGCTTGAGTTGGGAAGCCATTACAGTTTTGGGAAAAGAGAGACATGAACTGACTAGTTTTTAAAAAATTTTTTAAATTTATTTATTTGACAGAGAGAGAGAGCGAGAGAGCGAGCACACACAAGCAGGGGAAGTGGCAGGCAGAGGGAGAGGGAGAACCAGGCTCCCTGTTGAGCAGGGAGCCCGATGCAGGGCTCGATCCCAGGACCCTGGGATCATGACCTGAGCTGAAGGCAGCCGCTTAACTGACTGAGCCACCCAGGCACCCCCCGAACTGACTTGTTTTAAAAGGATCACTCTGGTTACAATCTTAGAACAAATACATGGAGGGGCTAGAGGACAAAAGCAGGGAGACTAGGTAGGAGGCTGTTTCAGTATCAGAAATGCTGTCATTTCAGAGATGATGGTAGACTGGACTAGGACAAGAATTTTGAAGGTAATACAATTCACTGATGCCAGATAAATGTTGAAGTTGAAATGACTGTCAAATTGGATATGCTGTCACAATAGATGTGGGGTGTGAAAGAAGAGAGGAGCCAAGGATAACACTTAGGGTTTTTGCCTGAGTATATAGAAAGATTTGAGTTGTCAGTTAATAAGATGAGGAAGACTGTGAGTGATGCAGGTTTGAGTGAGATCAAAAATTCAGTTTTGAACATATTAGGTTTGAGAATTTTATTAGCCATCCAAGTGAGAATGTAAAGTTGGCAGTTGGATATATGAATCTGGAGTTCAGGAGACAGTTGTGGGCTAGATATACAAATAAGGGAATTGTCAGCATGCGAATGGGATGAGTTCACTAAGGGAGTTCACTTTACCATGGACAAAGCAAGGCCAGAAGACTGAACAATGGCGTACTTGGATCAAACAGAATTCCAAGAAGCCAAATGAGAAGCTGTTTCAAGGAGAAAGTAATCAAATATGCCAAGTATTAATAA